CACTCACACTAACTACAGCTATCACTGTGTCTAATTTGATGTTTTCACTCACTGGACTCTGAAATGATTTAATAGAGATTTCTGGGTGGTTGTCATTCATGTCTTCAACGAGGATCTTTATGGTACATTGTCCTGACAAACTGTTGGCTCCTTTGTCTGTAGCTATAACTTCCATATCATAAATCCTGAAATCCTCATAGTTCAACATTCCTTTGACAGTAATTTCACCTGTGGTTGGATTCAGATTAAATGTCTCCTGAGTTTTCTCAGATGTGTATAAACTATATGAATATGTTAGATCAGAGTTAGATCCTTCATCTAAATCTGTTGCATTAAGATGGAGAACAAGACTTCCAATGGGAGAATTTTCCATTATTTTAACATTTAGACTGGTTTTGTCAAATGTWGGAGCATTATCATTAGTGTCTAAAACACGAACAATAACACTGGCTGTGCCAGAACGAGCAGGTGTTCCTCCATCTACAGCTGTGAGAARTAAWTTYTGAACAGCCTGCTGCTCCCGGTCTAAGGCTTTTTTTAATATTAAATCTGCAAATTTRGTTCCTTCTCTTCCTGTTTGAACTTCTATATTAAAATATTCACTTTCACTCAATTGATACGTTTTCACCGAATTTGATCCAACATCAGGATCAACAGCATTACTGAGWGAAAACCTCTCTCCTTTTGGCGTCGCTTCAGATATGTCTAAATGAATGGCCTCTCTCCTAAACTGCGGGGCGTTGTCATTCATGTCTAGAATTTCTACTTCTATGTTAAACATCCGCACTGGGTTCTCTAGTGTGACTTCCAGTCTAATATAACATGACACTAATGATTTAAACGTGCAAATGTGTTCTCTATCAATTTTCTCTACAATGTACAGCTCCCCAGTCTCTTTGTTCACATCCAGATATTTCTTGTTAGCGATGATGTCGAGCCGCATTTTCCTCTTTGTCAGCGTTTTAACATCCAGACTGAGATCAGCAGCGAGGTTTGCAACCACTGATCCTTCCTTCATCTCTTCAGGTATAGAGTAATGAGTCACTGAGGCCGAAATTTCACAAATAAGTGTACAGAAATGAAAGAGCAGCACGTACCTTTGCAACGAACCCTTTGTTTGAAAAGAAGCCATTGTTTTAGCCACGAATCACAGATTATAGATTATATAAGACACGTTATTAGTAAAAATGATTTTGTTCGAAAGGCGTTGATTTTAATCCTGTTCAAAACGCATTMTAATCKCMTGAAAATAGAYATAAATCCMTATCCACGTCTGCCGAGGCTGTTTCAGCACCACGGAGCTMTTCCGTGCTGCAAAGCGTGCTTCACATTAAACTGCTCCCTGTCACGGTGGTCAAAGACGGCATTTTTATGAATAAAACAGCGCCACCGTGTCTGCTAATAAAACAGGTAATTAAAGCTGAGTATAAATAATACAATATAAAATGTTCATTATACAGATATTATATTATTTTATTTAAGCAAAATTAATGCATTTCTTATGTATTTCCATAGTTATAAATATGTATTTTCAAAACAGAAAAGAAATCTAAAATTATAACATAAACACACTAGGATTCTTCTTTATACTTATTTGATTTGCTGCATTTAAAATTTTGTTTTGCGTTTTGTTTGTGTGTTTTTATTTATTTATTTATTTATTTATTTATTTATTTATTTATGTAAGTTGTCTTATAAAATCTCGGTCGGATGTATAAGTACACTAACTTCGTTGGTATGGATTTGTAATTTTACCAAGTATTTTTATTGTAACTTTTACTTTTATTTTCTGTTATTCAAAACATAAAAAAATATACCTTTAGTTCTTTACCTTGAAATTCAACACCTAGTTACACGTTGCAATTATTAAATGACCAAATTCTTCATAAGAGGTGTTGTTCATGCCACTCTAAAAATGAATTGTTGAATTCACTTAATAAACTTTTGTCACCTGGTTCCACGTTGTTTTAAAGAGAATGTCTAAAGTTATTTACATTTACTCAGCTCTGTTCAGTGAAATCAGTTTGGTTAATTCAACACTTCATTTCTTAGAATGTGTACATGGAGATTATTTTACTTTTACTTTCTTGATTATTGTGAGCAGTTTTGAAGAAATTTAAAGATAGTAGAGGTTAGTACTAAAAGCACAACACTATATTCTTAGGTTTTCCTTTTTGTAGTGTTGACAGTGTTTAATCTATTATGTTTTGATTGAAATAGGTTCAGTTACATGCCCGAAATATGTGACAACACATAATTAAATGTTGGGACAACTTTAGCTGAGAATTTTGTCTGATTGCCTGTGATTCAGTCGTAGGTCAGTATGGGGCGAACGCAGGCATTGAAGAAGGTGTATAAATACATGAACTTCCTGTTTTTCCGGTAGTGTTGGTTTCCTGTCAGCTTTATCGACAATAAACCTCACTCAGATCCAGAATTCTGGTGTTGTATGGTTTAATTCCTTCTACAAGTCATTTTATTTTACAGTTGTGTTTCTAATATTGACTTCAGTTTATTGAATACGAATTTTCTTACAGTTTTATGAATTTTACTCAAGTACTTATCATTGAAATGAATTTTTACCAAAGTTCTTTTCTGTTAAGATATTTTTACTTTGACTTAGTTACAGTATTTATGGTAAGTTCTTTAAACAATTCTTTAAATTTTAACTAAAAAATCTGCATAAAGAAAATAATCTTACAAATATGATTTGGTAAAGAAATGCTACATACATAAACAAGAAAAATATGAAATTGTAGTCAAAATTGTTACCAAAGACATATATTTTAAATGATGTCACTAAGGTTAAAAAGGAGGTTTGTTTGACTCTAATGCATTTTAGAACATGCATGTATTGTCAGAATGTATTACTATGAAGATGGTGTCTACTGTTCTCAAACTAACATTGTAATTATTGCTAGTTTTAATTTGAGATGTGTTATAAAGGTCAGTTCAGTGAAATAATTCATTCAAAAAATTTTGAAAATGTTAATTGAAACATTCATTACCTGCAGAGTAGAAGCTGCAGAGTCACTGGTCTCTGAATGACCTGTCCCTCTGGGGATACTGGACACGATGTACCTGGAGCCRTTTGGCACAGGCTGRCTGACCACCAGCTTTCCTTTCCTGGTCTCTGCTAGAAACAGACTGTACCAGTAGGCATCGTTGGACACCAGAGTGGAGTCTGCGATGGTGGAGTTCCTCTCACTGATCACACTGTTCCTGSTGGGAGGAGCAGCTTTGCTGGGCTTGGCTTTCTGACACTTGAGCACGATGGTGACCAGGATGGTGATGAGCAGGAGAAATGACACCGAGCCCAGACCGATCACCAAATACAGGTTGATGTCTGAAAAGATGTCATATTCCAGAGACATCTCAGTCATGTCAGAGTAGGCCTTAACAGCAGTCTCCACTGTCAGCAGCTTGATGGTGACTGTAGCAGACAGAGCGGGCTCCCCGTTGTCCTTGGCAACAACAACCAGTCTGAYYTGGCGRGGGTCTTTGTAGCTGAACATCCTCATGGTCCGGATCTCTCCGTTGTACTGGTCCAGACTGAACAAGGAGGCYTCAGTCACCTGGAGGAACTGGTAGGTGATCCGAGAGTTGTGCACAGAGTCRGTGTCCAAGGCGATCACRTTGGCAACCAGMGAGCCTTTATCAGTGGATCTGGGGATCTTTTCCTCCACCAGAGAGCCGTGTGCGCGCCATGGAGACACAATAACTGGAGCGTTGTCATTCTGGTCCACAATGACGATGTGAACTGTCACYTTGCTGCTGAGAGGAGGAGAACCAGAGTCTCTGGCCTCGATGTGGAACAGAAACTCCTGRTCAATCTCATAGTCAAAAGTTTTCAGAGCGTAAAGATTGCCGTTCTCTGGATTGATGGAGAACAACATGGACATGGAGGTGTTGGCMATCTCCTTCTCCAGGATGAAATAAACTAGATACTGGTTTTCATGGAGGTCAGGGTCAAACGCAGTGAGGGAGCTGAGCAGGGCTRCYGGGGCYTTATTCTCCATCACACGTATAGTATAAAAAGACTGGGGGAACTGMGGAACATTGTCATTAACATCCAGCAGATGCACAGTTATCGTCTCATTATCAGATAAAGGCGGTGTTCCTGCATCTGTCACAATCAGGGTGATGACATATTCTGCCACCTTTTCGCGATCTAATGGCTCTGACACTATGAGCTCATAATGTGTGGGTCTGTCGATGGATTTGTTTAGAATAAAAGGCATGGCCTCGTGTATTGATAAACTCACTTTCCCATTGTTACCACTATCCCGGTCACCTGTCCCAACCAGCGCAATAACGCTCCCAACAGCTATATTTTCAGCTACAGTGTTTTTCACTGACTGCACGTTGATTTCCGGATAATTATCATTCATGTCCGTGACATGAACCACCATTTTGCACTGCCCCAGCAGGGGGTGCGCACCTTTATCCCTGGCTTCAATGTGCATCTCATAAAATTTCATATCTTCATAATCGATCGTTCCTTTAACTGTCACCTCTCCTGTGTTGGGGTTCAGCGCAAAGACGTCTTGCGTTTTTTCGGACGTGTAAAGCGTGAATGAGTACACTATCTCTGAATTCAAACCCTCATCAAGATCTGTAGCGTTCAGCTTGGTCACTAAAGTTCCTATCGGTGTATTTTCTGTCATGTTAATGAGGTAAACTGGCTTGTCAAAGCGAGGAGGATTATCATTAGTGTCCTGCATTCTAACTATAATGTTGGCAGTGCCTGAGCGCACAGGGACGCCTCCATCCTCGGCTGTCAGGATTAATTTATGAGCAGCATTCTCCTCGCGGTCTAAAGGACTGGTCAGAACCAAATCCACATACTGGGTTCCGTCTGTGCCCGTTTGGATTTCTATTGTGAAATGATCGCTCGCGCTGAGTTTGTAGGTTTTAATCGTGTTAATGCCAACATCTGGATCCACGGCGTTGGGCAAAGAGAACCTCTCCCCCGGCGTGGCGGATTCGGACACGTCCAGCTCCACTCGGTCCCTTCGGAAATGCGGCGCGTTGTCGTTTATGTCCGTTATTCCGAGCTCTATGTTAAAGATGCGCAGCGGGCTCTCTATGATGAAATCGAGCTTTAGAAAACACGACGTGGGCTTCGCCGGACAAAGGAACTCCCGGTCTATTTTCTCCACCACGTACAGCTCGCCGGTCTTTTTGTTAAAGTCCAGATATTTTTTGTTGGTGAATATGTCGAGTTTTACCTCTCGTTGTGCCAAGCCTGCCAGCTCAAGTCCCAGATCCGCCGCGAGATTCGCCACAACGGATCCCCTCTCCATCTCCTCCGCTATGGAGTACCGAGTCACAGACAAAGCGCAGGGCCAGACTGCAGTCCAGACAAAGACAGCGGCCCAAAATGCCATCCTTCCCACTGCAGGACTACACAGATCAGATTAGATACTGTCTGGTGCGTTTAAAGCCCTGAGTGGGATCTTGAGGAAAATCTTTGAAAAAAAAAAAAACGAAATTAAAGATTTTGCTGTTTTAAAAAAAATCAAGACATGTTATCCGGACAGCTCACATCCTACACACCATCTGAAACTAGGTGTGTCAGGATTTATGCTTTAGTGGTGAACAGTGACACCCTGTGACTCCTGCTGCACAGAATTATTGTACAGTAAGCTTGGCCTTATGGCACTACAATAGCATGCAGTGAGTCTAATTTTTTCTCCATTATGTGTGAATTATAATGCTTTTCACTATAATTCACTATATCATAATTCATATATGTCCTTTCTCTTCACAAAACATGTATTACATATTCTCCTATTTGCTGGTTAAGGTCAAGTAGTTTGATTTGTGCAACCAAACTTCAGCAAAAACAAATTGTGAAAACAAATCTAAATGAATGACGCACAATTTCTTTTTAAAATAAGACCAAAAAAATAAATGTGTATAACCAATTCTGCAGTTTTTAGTGTTGGTGTGACACTCACCCGTAAAACCTATTATATACTGTACCACACAAAATCTTGGTTTGCGTTTTCACTGTAGCTTCATCTTTGACATCAAATAGTATAATTTCAAATCTTAAAAGCACTGCTGAAAGTCAAAACAAAAAACTGTAACATACTGTGGTAAAAGTAATAAAACAAATTATACTAAAACATCAATTCTGAGTAAGTT